AATTTACCTTTATAGGCTCTAGCAATTTATTAGCAGGAATGATAACAGACCACTAACTTTAATAGTAGATATTATTTTTCGAGTGTTTATTAGGTGCCAGGTACTGAGGTAGATGCTCTGCATGGATTATTTAATTTAATCTCCACAATCCTAGGGAATAGTATTGTTTGTAGTTTTTAGATGTGGAAACAGGCTAAGAGGGATCAAATAACTCACTTCTTTGAGTGTGTGACCCCTCCAAAATGCATGTTGAAACTTAGTCCCTGATGCAACACAAACTGTGCGAAATTAATTTCTTTTATTTATAAATTACCCAGTCTAAGATATTTTTATAGCAGCACAAATGGACTGAAACACCCATCAAAAGGGAAATGTGCTACCCTTGGTTCTAAGAAGTGAAAGGTTCAGGTGAAGACATAACCATGGGTTAGACATCAGGGAATGGCAATTTCATCAAAAATTAAACTCAACAATCAGAGAGAAGGGGAACCCTAAAATTTTATTTTAAATTTAGAAATAATGATTGTGGAAAAAGAGAACACTTGGGTAACTCTGATATGAAGAGCTTTAAAAGTGGATATATCCAGAGAGATTGGAAACTACTAAAAGCTTTAGTAGCATTCTGACTCACAGTTGTGCCAAGGGCCCAGTGTAGGCAGCCTTCAGTAAGAATCCTGGCTTGCCAGACTAGAAAAATCCCAGTGATTAATAGAGGGAAAATGAGATCTTTTCGAAGTGGAAATATAGCTTAGGATAAAAGAACAGTGAACTAGCAAATTTAGATGAAAAAGTAACAGAAGATAACTAAAAGACTGATAAGTAGCTCACCAGGGAATGAAGACAAAGCAATGAACAGAATCACAGAATCATAGACTGCTGGTGCTAGAATGGTCTGTAAGAGTTGTCTGGGCATTCTCTTTATTTTACAAATGGAGAAACTGACTTCTCACAAGTGAAAGGGGCTTGCCTTAGGACACTTGGAAGTTTGAAGCATAGCCATTGCCAAGAATAGAACCTGGGTATCCTGTACTTCATTCAGTGCATCAAAAGAAGGAATAACTGAGCCAGGGAAGCCAGCCAATAGGATCACTTGCTGGTGATGATGCAAAAGGTCTGCTTAGGCATAAAAAGAAGACACAAGAGAGTCTGAACATAATTTGAGCTGTACTCTTTGTTCCTGAGTTGTCTTTTGGAGGAGGCAATTTGGAGTGCTAAACGAAAAGGTGGAAGACACACATGATGTTCTAATTCAAGTTGACTAAGTAAACAGATGTTGATGAATCACCAGGACCTGATGGCGTCTTCCCAGATTTTGGGTAAAACTATGTAACTGCTGACCAAAATGTAGAGTGTGTCATGCCAAGTAACTATCGTGCCATGAGCCTGGCAAATTAGCAATGACCCTCTTTTCCATGAGGCGCATTTTAAAGGGGATCCAAAGAACTTTAGGTTGGTAGGTTCACTGATCATGTTAAGCAAGGGTAATATATGAGAGGCAAGGTATAATTTTCCTGTAAATTAAATTTACCACCTTTTGTATAATGTTTTACAGTTTGTCAAACACTCAGGGTTAAACATTCCTAACAAATTGATTAGAATACTTTGAGAAGATCAGTGAGCACGTAGACAAAGGGAAAGCCAGGATGTAATTTATTTAGATTCTGAAAAGGGCCTTGACAAGGTCCCACACCAAACACTGTTTTAAGAAGTTAACTTACGGAATTGCACAACAGTGTTTTGAAATGGATAGGGAATCATGAGTAAGAACAGACAAGGACTTTTCTGGAAAAGTATGAACAATGTGTCCCAGGGATCACCACTGGGACTTGTTAAAATTCAAAATCTGAGATGTAAGATCTCAATCTTTTTGAGCACCATCTCAACACTCAAAAAGTATTGGGCTCCACAGTATTTTGGGTTCCAGATTTTCAGATTAGAAATGCTCAACCTGTGGTATAAAGATATAAAGCTGACTTCAGTGTTTTTATCACCATATTGATGAGCAGAGATAGAAATGTCTGAATAGGCTTCTTTAAGGAGAGGCCTCTGAAACCTGGCTCTGAATTCTGATTCTGCCCTTATGATTTCATGATGTTAGGTAAGTCACTCACCCTCTTCTAGTATCAGTTTCCCCATGTGTGAAATAAGAATAATAACCATGATTCAGAGTGGTGTTGTGAAATGTGAGACAGTGCGGTATGAGACAATGCATGCAAGTTCTGGCATAGTGTTTGTATCACTGAAAACATTAAATAAATATTAGCTTCTAATATTTTAATGTTTCATCAACATTCTCCTACTAGGATGTCAGATTCTGGGTGATCATTTTATGCTACATGGAACCTGGGAGTCACTGTAGAACATTTTTGGAGATATTGGCAGAATTGGTTTTAGTAATTCAGAAAACAGAAAACTATGGATTGAGATGGTTGCAAACTATTTCAAGGAGGCAAACTAACAAATACGGAGCACCTGGAATGTGCCAGATACTGGGCTAGATGCTTTAGAAATTTCTCTACCCGATTTAATCCTGCAATAGTCCTATGAAGTTGGGATTATGACCTCCATTTGATGGGATGAGGGAATGGAGGCTCAGAGATGAGATTAATAAACTTGTTCTAGATCATACTAACTCATAAGAATTAAAGTCAGAATTCAAACACAGGTTTGCTCTGCCCCTATTTCCTTTTCACTGCATCATACTTGCATTGTATTCTGAATGACAAGTACAATTTAAGAAGAAAGAAAAGAGAAGTATGTATATAGAAATAAACATGGGCAATGTTTACAAGTTCATAGGGTACAAATACCGGTTTAAAAAAAAAGTGGAGGATTCCTGTGGGGTTAATTGTAGAAAATAAAGCCAGAAGGGTAGTTTAGGCTAGACCAGAAGGCTCTCTAAGAACTCCGCTAAGGATCTGAGCTTTATCCTCAAGGCAATTGGGACAGGATGAAGGCAGCTGAGCTGAGGAGAGGTACGAGATGCTTTAGAAAGATTAATCTGGCATCTGTGCATGAGGAATTGATGGAATCTTCTGTCCGGGTCCCTGATTCTTTGTTCCCTAATCTGCTAGCCTAAGGCTTTCAATACTCCTGCCTTAGCCTAGAAGCCTGGAGACCACTTAGGATATGATCACAATAGCATATGCTGGAAGACAGGGTCAGGGAATAGAAAAGAAGCTGTGACAAAAGTAGAAAAAAACAGCAAAGAAAGAATCAACAGGGATTTGGGGCCCAACTGCATAATGAGGGACAAAGGGGAAGAAAGAATCAAAGATGACTTTAGTTTAAGCCTCAGTGACTGGGAAAATGACAGTGGCATTACAAAAGTAAGGATATTAAAGGACAACCGATTTGAGAGGGTCAGTCAATATATCCGACTTAGGGTACAAGCTGAAGCTAATGGTGAGGAAGCCAGACCAAAGTGCTTAGTAGGCAGCTGGAGATGTGGGATGGTTGCTCAGGTGAGCAGTCGAGACTGGTGGTAATGATTTTCTCAATTATCTCTATAGTGGTATAATACTGTTCATCGTAGCATCATACACAATAGTCAAGAGGTAAAAAATAACCCCAGTATCTATCAATGAATGAATGGATGAGGAAACTGTGGTATTTACATACAATAGAATATTATTCCACCTTAAAAATGAAGGAAACCCTTCCCTATGCTACACAGAGAAGAAGCTTGAGGTCATTACACTGAATGAAGTAAGCCAATTGCAGAAGGGTAAATACTGCTTGATTCTGCTTTACATGAGGTCTCTAAAACCAAACAGTTCATAGAAGCAGGAAGTAAAATGTTTGCAGGAGACAGAGGAGAATGAAGAGTTGCTAATCAATAGGTATAAAGTTCCAGTTATATAAGATAAATAAGTTCTAAAGATGTGATTACAATATAACATTGTGCCTCGAATGAAAAATATTGTATCATGCACATAAAAATTTGTTAAGGGTGGGCTGGGGATTTAGCTCAGTGGTTCCACCGCCTGCCTCACAAGCGCAAAGTCCTGAGTTTGATCCCTGGTACCAAAAAAAAAAGAAAAATTGTTAAGAGGATAGATTTTAGGTTAGTTTTCTTTTCCTGCCATGAGAAAAATAGGACGTGAGTAATAATAATAAAAAAAAACCAGTTGAAAGAAGGAGTGTGGATAAGATCTGTATCTTCTCTGGAGAAGAAGGAAAAGAATGAGGTTTAAGAAGTGACCTCTGGACAACAGCCAGTTTCAGTGTAGGATTAAGAAGAAGAGCTAGTAGAGGAAGGGAGTTAGAAGGAAACTAGGGGCATGTACAGCATCTCAGAGACTGGGGGATGCAGGTTTTCAGGGAGAAAACTGTATTGCAAAGCAAAGAGCACTGTACTGGTAGTCTCAGGACCTCAGCTGGACTTCCAAATCTTCCATTTAGGGAAACCTTATAGCTTCTCTGAGCCCCAGTTCTCTTACCTGTGAAACGGAATAATGCTTATCCATATGAAAAGACTGTAAACTGTGATACTTAACAGAAATGTGAGGGGATTTTTGGTTTGGTTCTTGATCCTACTAGCCCTGTGCTTTTTTTTTCTGTTGTTATTGTTGTTTTATACAGCTTGCGAGAAAGAAAACAAAACCAACATGATGTTCGTAGAAGAGAGGGTCAGCTTATGGCTCTTCCTTTGAAAGTTATCCTATTACTGATTTTCATAAGATTCCCAAGGTTGCATTTCTTTTTATAACTGAGAAGAACCAAGGAAATGTCTAATAGGAACAGAGCCAACTGATTAGGTCAGTTTCTTTTAGACAGTCAAAGACAGGAAGTTACCTTTTTAACCCACTCAAGGCCGGAGATTTTAAAAAGGCAACCTGAAAACTTCATTTTTCTAGAGTGTGGTCATTCCTAGAAGAACTGAGGATATTGCGTGCTGAAGGGATTTTAGGGGAGGTATAGAGAGCAGATTCAATTGATTTTTAATTCCTGAGCGCCACCACTTTTAGCTCAGCTTTGAGCTAGCATGAATCAGTTACCTGCAAGGAAGCGGAGCTGATTCTTCACTTTCATCATTCCATCACCAGAGCCTCCGATGCACTCATCTTCATCATCGCCACAGTCTCCACTTTCAAACCCTTCCTCATCCAGGTTTTTATCCAGAGCTCTACCTTTGGGCACAGACATGGTTCTCAGGAGCTGAAAGAAAATAACCAGAAATGCAGAGGCCTCTCAGATTTCTCAGATAGGTCTAGAATAGGGTAGTACTAGCAGGAGGCAGTAAAATGTGTTGAACAAATCACACAGAAGCTTGTAAAAATCATTTTAAAATTTAAATAGGTATTGGCAGGGGATTTAGCTCAGTGGTGCCTGCCTCACAAGTGCAAGGTCCTGAGTTACATCCCCGGCGCAATAAATAAATAAATAAATAAATAGGTATAAACTGCTTGTGGTCTTTAGAGTTTCATACTCCTGGAGACTTCCACAGCATTCAGCATGAGTCTCCGATGCTTCACTCTACCTCACACAGTAGCCACAGTGTACGTCACATGAGGTCTTCCCAAACCATGGGATCTAGGTTTCTGAAAGTCTCTATGGCAGGAGAACACATTGATAAAGAACCTAAGTAATGATCAGCAAAGCATATGTATATGCCAGGAGCTCACCAAGATCAGGAAAGATCGCTATGAAAGTCCCTGAGGATCATATTTACATTCATTAAATTAAAATAATAGATGCTACTTGCCAAATGAAAATACTAGCAGTGCCCTTTTGTACACTTAAAATGAGTCCTTATAATTCTCATGTCCTATATCTGAAATACTAGAAAAACTTATTTTTAAAATAAAGGATAATGTAATTTATTTCTTTAAAATTTCAGATGATTTCCCAATGCCAGTACCAAGTTCTGTTTCTTGTACCTTCTATGGCTACATTCAGTTGCAGTTGTTCAGAGTAACACAGAAAACATGGGAAATGCCTCAAACCTCCAATCACCCCACTCACTTATCTCTAGCATTTCATACTCTGAAACTCAGAAGTTTTAGATATTTCCTTCTTCCACAATTTCAGAAAGATGCTGTAAAATTCATTTTGCTTTACTGTAGAGAATATGCTTACTAAGAGACCTATTTGTTTTGTTCTTGAGTGCCTGGCTTTTCAGTCCTTATGGTCAGGTCAATGCCTTCCTAATATTATGGGGCCCTGCCTCCCCACTGACCCAGAGACCCAGCCTGCAGTGTGAATGATACCTGAGGGCTGTTGTCACACTCCATTTTCTTTTTCCTCACCATCTCCTCCTAAGGCTTCATTTTAATATCCCGTGTTCCTACTCTAGCTTTTGTTCCATCATTCACTTCTAAGTCTAAATCTCAGTCCCACTCTCCCCTTTTCCTTAAATGACAGCCATCAAAAGCTTCTGGATATACAGAAAGTGAGATTATTGTGATAGTGGAAGACGTGGCCAGAAAAAAAGACTACTGCATACAGGGGCATGCTTTGGTGTCTGTGGTTTCCATTTTCTCTATTTATTGTCACTATGAAGTATACTTGTATGTTTGTTTTCCACCTGTGATTTAGCTGCTACCATAAGAGCTACTTAGAAGAAGCTATATGTCATAGAGAAATGTGGCTCTGCAGGTAATTTTTTAATGCAAAGAAAGAGTTCTTTCCTGGCCAACAACCTCTAATGGTGTTGGAGAAGCTAGTCACCTTATCATTTCTCATTCCAACACCACCTCCACCTTTCCACTCTAAAACTCCTCCCCCTCTCTCATTCTGCCACCTCCTCTATCCCATCATCCCACATACCAAACTTCAGAGCATATCAACGTGGACTAAAATAAGCTAGACTACTGGCTCTCAAACTTTGATCTCGGGACTCCTTCATTTTATTTTATTCTTGGTACCAGGGATTGAATCCAGGGCTCTGTGGATGCTAACTATATACTCTACCAAGACTCCTTTAGACTTTGACTGAGAATCCCAGAGAACTTTTATTTGTACAAGTTTTATCTATCAACATTTATCAATCTCCAAACTTCTGAGAAAATTTTAAAATAATTCATTTATAGCTCATTTAAATATAATAATAAATCCATGATATATTACCATAAACATTTAAAAATGAAAAATTAGTATATTTTCCCAGACATAAAACAATTTGTAGGAAGAGTGGGATTGGTTTATATTTTGGCAAATCTTTTTAATGTCCAGCTTAATATAAAATAGATGGAATTATCATATTTGCTTTTCCATTCAGTCTGTTGTGGATGAAACAGTCACAGAAAATCCAGCATCCCACAAATATGTAGTGGGAAAAGAGAGAAGCGTTTTAGTAACATTTTTCCATAATTGTGGATGTCCCCCACACACCAAAAGTTCAATAAGTGTTTGTGACGTGCAATATGAAACCATATCAATGAACATTTCATGCCCTGTTACCTTAAAATCTTTTGGTATGTTTTGAAATCTGAATGGACCTTTTACTCATTTTATATCATCTTGCATGGATCATGTGGAAAATACTGGCTCATTGAGCTACGCAGGTCCTCCAAATGTTGACACCTTTCATTATATGGTGTGAAAAAAATCCCATTCATTAAATATCACCTCTGATTTCATCAGAAAAGTCTAAGTATTGGGAAGCTCCAAAGCTTATGGTGGCAGATGCGAGTTTTCAAAAATTTTAGTTTTCTCTTGAAAGCTAGGAATTTATCATTGGCAAGAAAGAATATCAGTTGTTTTCCTTGAGCTGACAGGCTCTCTTTGTTCTTCTCCAAGAAAATGTCTAGCATATACTCGAGTCTGCAGCACCATAGTTTGTCAGTCATTCTCTCAAGTCAAACTGGAAAAAGAGGCGGGGTTGCCTCACCAAATACTCTCACAAGTGCTTTTCTCTGAGACATATGTTGACACACATTTTGCAGCATAAATCCAGTAAGGATACTTCGCATTTCATAACAGAATATTAAAAATCATACTCAAGGGTTGATGTTTCACAAAATTAATAACATTTTTACAGCTTTGGCAATGATAACCTTAAGTGAAACTGCCTTTTATTTTCCTGCAAGTGTATGCCAGTGATGATTATGACAACTAGTACGTTTTGCTGCCACTACCTTGAGTCATACAGCCGTGTCGACAGTCACTGCTCTTGTACCATTGGTGCAAATATCAACACAATAGAAAAGACAAATGACATTTTGGTATTATGCAAATAGTTTTGACCTTGTCGATTAATCGATTAATCGAATTCTGTGTTTCATGGACTCCCAGGGTCCACAAACCATTCTTTGAGAAGTGTAAGTCTAGCTTATAGCATCACTTCAGTTTCACCAAAATCCCCAATCTTCTTTCTCATCATTATTTCTTATGGGAAAACTGATTTTGACATAAGTATTTTATGTTAATTTTTAAAAAATGTATTCTTTGTGCATGTCATGCACTACTTGAATTAGAATTTTTTACAGAAGGGCAATTTGTGGTTCGGTAGAATAGTGAACTTGCTATTTCTCAAGCACATCTCATATCTTGGCTTGTTATTATCTCCAGTAAATATTACCTGAGAACATACTATGAGCTGTTCTTCATTTCTACTGAATGCTTTCTAAACTTTCAGGCCAAGTTCAAATGCTATGTCCTTATTAAAGCCTTCTTGGTGAACCCGACTCCCACCACTACTCCTTTTATCTCTACCCCCTAACACCACTTTTTGTATGAAACCTGGTATAACCTAATTGTATATATGACTTTTCTCTACCAGCAGACTGTGAGCTGCTCAGGGACCGCATCTTACATATCTCTGAATCTCAAAGCATTTAAAGTCATGTCTGAAACACAGTAGCCACTTGATAAATGTGCCACTGAACTGAAGCAAAACGAGGTGGCATGGTATCTTTAATTCTTTAAAAGCTATTTCCACAACCTCATGAAAAGGAGAAAGCCAAAGCCCAGATTAATTATGGAAGAACTTGTGAATGAATAGCTAAACCCTTCTGGAGGACCCTGGCTAAGACCTGTAGCTAATCTTTAAGAGACCGTCTTCCAACCTCGTGTACAATGCCCCCAGTATTCTCCGGTGGCTCAGTTTAAAACAAAGTGCAATTAAAAAAACAAACCTTTAAAACTCTGCCAGTGAAGTTACTTCTTTAGGTCTTAAATTACTAGCATTTTAGAGACAACTCCAGCATTGAGGAAGGATTATAATATACTTTTAAACCATTTTGCACAGACAGCTGCTGATTAGTCTAACATGCACATATTAACAAATCAAATCCAATAACTAGAAAGCTATTATTAAAGCAAAAATCTTAAGAGAAGAGACTGAAGCTCCAGAGTGTTAAAAAGAAAGGTAATAGGTCAAATTAGATTGCCAGCATGGACTAAGGAATTAGCACAGCCTGGAATTTAGCCCAGAAACCAAATCAGCTAATTACAATTCACAATATTGACCTTTTTGTTCCCTCTCTCACTCTTTACAATGTCTTTCAGACTGAACACTTGCTTTATAAAAAGAAAATTATGAGGGCCTTGCACACAAAAGCAGGTAACTTTTGGGGCCTAATGCTTTTGATGAACTGTTTACCATTTTCAAAGGACAGTATCCTGTTAGCTTTTTAAAAAGCTAAGCCTTAGAATAATGATTATCAATGTTAAGTATCTTTCTAAAGCACAAGCCTGACTATTTCACTCCACTCTCCCCACAGCAATGTGCAAATCTGACACCTTTGTCAGGCATTGCTTTCCATATAGCAAGGGTACACAAAGCTTTTCACAATCCAGCACTTGATTTTTTTATTATTCTATCTTAATTTTTAATACATCTGTGATACATACTTGTAATCATCTTGGTGAATTAGTATCTACACATACGGGATCTTGATCATTTTTATTCTTTCTTTTCCTCTTTCTCTCACCTTTCTCAACATAATTCAGAGTTTACTATAGCCATTAATCTCTGTGCAGCTCTTATAGCCACTAAGACTATCATAGATGCCTAAGCATACCATCAGTTTATATTTTTATTTTAAATATGTAAGTAGCACATATGGTATGATTGGATCTTAAATGTCCAGTTGAAAACTTGGTCACCAGTTTCTGCCCCTACTGGAAGGTGGTATATTAGGAGGTGTTCTTAGTGGGAGATAGTTAGGTCACTGGGTGTCTTAGTTACTTTTCTCCTTGCTGAAACAAAATAC